ATGAACAGACTGAACGAGGGGAGAGAGAGCCTGAGAGCCCCAAGGAACAAAAGCAAGAAATGGGAATTATTAAGAGTTAAGTTTGGGGAGGACAACACATACCCCAAGCTGCAGCATTCACAAGTGTTGCAAAACCAAAGCATGCATTGCTCTTCCTAAATGTTATCTGGAGAGATTCCATTCTCTCTCTCCCCACCCTCGCTCGCTCTTGTCCCTCCATCTCTCACCCACCCAGGTTGCTCTTCGTTTTCCCCTCCCTTGAATGGCTTTAGAGAATAAGGGGGTGGGGGGAATCCACTTACTGCTCTAAATGGACCTCCAAATCTGGGTTCTCAGTCCTCCAGTGGGCTCAGTGCTTTCCAAGACCGTCTGCAGGAGGGCAGCTCCCCATCTTCTTCCCGGGAGAGACCCCCCGCTGCGCCCCGTGTCCTGGACAGCAGGTCCCAGATCCCCCCCATGCCTCCAGCCGGCTGAGAGGGCCTAATGCAAAATTAAACCCTGACATCATCCTGTAATGGAGACGCCCAGCACATGATAAGGTCCCCTTATGAAATCCGGCTGCCTGCAGAGGCACGGGATGGGGATGGGGGAGAGGAAGGGAGAAGGAAAGGGGGGGAGGGCTGGCCAGCCAGACCTCCCCCCACCCCCAATGCCCCTTCTCCTGGGAAAGTTGCTGTTTAAGTTAAAAAAAAAAGGGAATCCTCCCTCCTCTTTTTGGCTGGGTGTTGAGCTCTACACACACACACACAGACGCACACACTCAGATTACAAGCCGCAGCTCCGGATGAGCATAACCGACTGCCCTTCCAGGCATCTGCCTGACCTCTGGTTGCTAATCCTCCCCAGGGGAGAGAACTCTGATGGCATTAGAGCTTGGCGGGCACCTTTTGGCCTTCTCTGCAGGAGCCGGGGCACAGCCTGCACTCTGCCGATTAGCCCGAAGCCCCTCTAATAAGCAGCCCCCCTCCCCGACGACCCCTCGCTTTGTTCGCTTGGAAGACCGGGCTGCCGAACCGCTTGGGTTTCCCAGGGAAGTTCAGCCTCTCCTCGTCCTCCTTTTCGGAGAGGGGGATCGAAGCCTAGCAGCCCCCTTGGCCGACCCAAGAGCTCGGCATGCCCCTGCCCCCCACCCTCCCACTGCCCTAGACCGGAGTCTCTTCACCTTGAAGGCATCCCAGAATTCCCCAGCCAGCCTGCTTTAAATGACCATCGTGACTGATGGCTGATCTTGCGGGGGGCCTCGATGATGGTTGGAAGTCAAAGGCTACCAATCTTTCTCCACCTTGGCGACTTGAAGACCTCTGGACTTCGACTCCCAGAATTCCCCAGCTATTCCTGCACTGACCCATCTGAATTTAGAAGGTGTGTCAATTCTTTGGGTTCATTTGGGGCTCAGCTCCACCCCATCTTCTGCAAAAGGTCTTCTTCTCAAGCCCCACCTATGCTACTTCCACATGAGCCTGCTAAGGAAGGACACACCAAGCCAATCTCTCCTATGCCTTGGCACCCAAATGGGCATCTCCCGGCCAATTGGGGGTGGGGGTGGGGTGTGGCAAAAGCACTTTGCACGTCCTTAGACTTGCTGAAGACAGAAGACGTTCTGAGTTGGGAAACAGGCTAATAAGATGCCAACTGACAAGATGCAGGGCGACCAAGCAGTGGCGGAAACCCAGGAGCGATGTGTGACCCTTGGCAGCCCTTGACCTCCCCTTCTGTGTAAAGCATGCCCTCTTGGCCCTTAGAAAATTGTCCAATCTTTAAGCCCGTGGCAGATAGTGAAGCCCATTTCCTGCCAACGCTCGATTCTGCAAAAGGAGAATTCCGTGAACTGTATATCTCTCAAAAGAATCCCTCGGCCCCTTGATACCCATCAGAGTATCATCTCTAAGCAAACAGTTTCTCAGAGTTTCTCCTCTCCTCCGTTTCTCCCCCCCCCCCCCATGAAGAAGTGAAAGAAGAAAAGTTAAAAGAAGGCAACATTCCAGCTGGGATTAGCTCTCAAATAACTTTGCATTTCAAACCCCTTTTTTTCTCTCTGGTTCTCCCTCGTCCTCTTTGCCAAAGGGCCGAGAGGTCAGAGGTTAAAGGAGAAGACCTGCGAGGTCAGGAAGTCATCACCTCTTGGGACCTTCCCCTCTCAGGAAATAGTTGAACAGGTAGAGTTTAATTGCAACTAAATAAGACTGACTGGCTGAAAAAGTTTTACCCACTTTCTCCTGCAACCAGCCTGTCCTAATTTGGGTGATCGGAGCACACTCAGCCCCTTGGATTCCTGTTCGCATCACACATACACAGAGTGGGTTGGGGGGAGGCTGGCTCCCCACATTCCTCCTCTTCCACTTCCCAACTCTGTTTTTCACATGGAGTTGGCAGAACCCAACAGCCATCCAAGAGAGTACCCAGAGCATGCCACGTCACGCGGGGGCGGGAAAGCAAAGCATTTCAGGAATTGACCCCTGGAATTCAACCCAAAGCTGGGAGAAAAGGGGTGCCCCTATTCAGAAGCCGGGCACAGGCCTTTCAGAAATGGGAGGAAGCCTGGAGTCCTTCTTAACACGTCTTACCCACCCTGGAAAAAAATCCCCTGGAGATACANACAAGTTATATTAAAAATCCATTTATTTTTGTATCTTGTACATATACAAGAAATGCGTCTTACACGGAAATTTTGAAAACAAAAAAAAGTTAAGTAAAAACATAAATACATATATATTTTCTTACGAAATGTCAAGATTTACAAAATGTACATTATGCATTTCTAGCTTGTCTTATGCTCATTTTTAAAAATTCCCAAACAAACCAGAATATCAGAACCAGGAAGATCAGATATTACAAATGAATCAATGGAACATTTTCCTTGCTGTTTATTCCCCAGTATTGTACCTGAAATTCTTCTCTCCCCTCCTTGCCAATTCTACATTTCTTAATAGTGGTAATATTTCGTAAAGGTATCCATTCATTAAAAATATATATATTGATGCATTCTGGAGAAGGAAGGGGAAATCCAAGTATGACTTCTTAAAAGCCCCCAGTTCTCCAATTAGTATATTGGGTAAAATTAAATAGAACCCCCTTACATTTCCAAAAAAGCTAGCTTGTGAAATGTAGCATTTCAGAAAGGCTTCTGAAATCAATTTATTTCCAACAGTGGGCTCTTCGAGGAAATGTTATATATAATGATGTTTAACTTCAGATGTATTTAATAGGCCGATCATTCAAGAAAGGAATGCGGGGAGCCTTGAAAGAATAAACACATAGTTTATGAACAAGACACATTAATTCCAGCATTTCCTTAAGCTGAAAAAGCCTATCTTTATCGGAAAGCAGATTCCACTGAATTCCACAGGACCTTTTCTAGACAGACGGTTCCTAAGACTGTGTAGCACTTTCAACAGAGTGATTGTGTGCTACCAGGGGCCTAAATGGGTGGCAAGTCGCAATCCTTGAAATCTGAACTGGACGCAGGATAGAATGGGGTCTTTTCCCAGGTACATCAGCATAGGACACTTCAGCCTTAATCAAGGCAATCTTTTGTTGAAGAGTTAAGGCTGTATTCCTAAATGCCTCCACTAATGAATTAGTAGCACTTCCAAGTCCATGTAAACATCTGCAAGAAACTGATTCCCAACGAAGGCCACAATTTTAATAATCTACTGGTTTCAAGGGAATCTAGGAGCATATTGAGGGGGAGCACTGAGATGCCTCCCTGATTGGACCAGGACTGCAAAATATATTTTCCTCCTTTTTCTCTGTTTCTAGGTCCTTCTCTCTGCCCCTTTTACAAATCAAAGGGCGATACAAATGATCAGCCAGGGAAACCAACTCTTAACTTTGTGACTATAAAACCTTTCAGATGCTTTAAACGGCTTGTTTGATTATTGGCTGTTTTGTTAGTTGTTCTGAAAAAAAAAAAAGAGATGGGGAGGGGAAAGAGAGGCAACCTCAGCTTTTCTCCAGTTACGCTGGGACTCCCTGAAAACCCTTTCCCTTGTGTTCACAAAAAGAAGATAAAGAACTGCAGCTCTAGCTGAACCTCAACAAATTCTTTGTTATAGTTTCCCCATAAAAACCAAACCCCTGGCTTACGCTTTGCTGCAGAGAAACCCACTTTTGTTTCTCCTTTGTCCCCTCTAACAAAAGGCGAGGGAGTTAAAGCCATTCTATCAAAAATCAACATGTCACTTCTTTTTCAGACCCGTTTCTTTCCTCCCTTCTCCCCCCCCCCTGCCCCCCCCCAAAATCTCCGCAAAACCCCCTTCCCAAAGCCCAAACCAGGCAGGGAGAAAACTTTTAAAAACTGGAAAAGCAGAATTTTCCTTACAGCCTGGCCAAGCCCATGCACCGCGGATTCCCGAAGTTAAGCTCAACTAAGTGTGAGGTTAAACTTGCTCCCAAGGCAAGTTT